CAAAATTGATAAACCTCTAGCCAACCTTTTCAAGAAAAAGAAAAAAGCTCAAATTCACGCAATAACAAATGAAAAAGGGTGAAATTATTACAGATCTCATGGAAATTCAGATCACAAATCTTTACTTTGAAAATCTTTACTCACATAGGATAGAAAACAGAGAGGAAATGATTAGGTTCCTAGAATTACCAAAGCTGAATCAAGAAAATATAATAATTTTGAATAACCCAATATCAGCTACTGAAATTGAAAGTGTGATTAAAAACCAACAAAGAAAAAAAAACAACAAAGAAAAGCCCAGGTCCTGATGGACTGAATTATAACTGAATTATACAAGAAATTTAGAGAAGATTTAATACCAATACTCCTCAAACCCTTCAGTAAAATTGAAAAGGAAGCAATTCTTCTTCCTGGAGGCAAGTATTATTCTGATACCAAAACCAGAGAAATGCTCAACCAAAAAGGAGAACTATTGGCCAATTTCCCTAATGAACATTGGTGCAAAAATTCTCAATAAAATACTAGCAAATAGAATGCAGCAAGTCATCAAGAAGATGATACATCCTAACCAAGTGGGATTTATCCCAGGAATGCAGGGATGGTTTAACATATGCAAATCAATACATATAATACACCACATCAACAGAACCAAAGACAAAAATCACACGATGCTGGAGATTTAGCCCAGTGGCGTAAGTGCTTGCCTGGCAAGTGTGAGGTTGTGAGTTCAATCCCCTGTACAAAAAAAAATCAGATGACCATCTCAGTAGATGTGGAAAAAACTTTTAGTAAAGTTCAATACTTGTTCATGATGAAAAAAAAACCCTACAAAAACTCAGAATAGATGGTATCTACCTCAATTTGATAAAAGCCATCTATGACAAACCAACAGCCAACAATACACTAAATGGACAAAAACTGAAAGCTTTCACTCTAAAATCTATTTACTTTAGAATCTAGCTTATGTTGCTTATCTCTTTCTTAGCATACAATGAACAAAATGAAAATCCACCAACTGCTTTATATAGGTTCTGCCACTTAAGGCTCCCAGAATATTTTATAGACAAAGACAAAAGAAAAAGAAAATGAATTCCAGATCTCACAGCTTGTAGCCAATGGGGTCCAGATGAAAACCAATGATTTGACTCCAAAGTCCTGATTGCCACTGTACGACCTCTTACCAGATGCAGTCTCTTCAAACTCACACTCTTTCTACACCCCAACTTCTTGAGGGGTATGAGGTTTATTCTCTATTTATTGTTCACGGTTGAGCGAGCACACCGTGCTTGGGTCTGAGGTTAGGAGCTCCAGTGTCTACTGGAACACACAGTCTGAAGGCGAGCCACACCAGAGGTTACTGCGTGATGGGGGTAAGTGGTACCATCTCAGGTCCAGGCTGATGTGATGCCTTACCACTACAGGAGCTGGCTGGGAGGAGGCAGTCTGGAGGAACTTGAAACCAGCCTCACAGTTTACTAGCTGGGCAACCAGGAAATGACTGGAAGCTCTTTTTAGGATTGTACATAAAAATAATAGGCAAGACCTGCCCCCACGTAGCTATTCTTTCTTCCCCAATAATTTTCAGCCAATTTTAACATTCAGTGCTATGCCCAAACTCCATCCAAGTGTTCAGCTTTATTATGGATTAAAAACTAGTGGTCCAAGTAACACCAGCTGAAACGGATCAGCATGGTGCCGCGTGTAGATGGCGCGGTGGAGGAAAGTTGCCAGCATAAAAGGAATGTGGTGAGGAAGATCCGGCACTGTGGATTCTCCTAAATGATTGTTGAGTGGAGCTGCTGGTTCTCCTGGAGGAGTTTGTCGTGCTGGCCCCCCTGATAGGAACTCAGCTGTTATCACTAGAGGAGCTCTGGACCTTGTCGCTGAGAATGGCTGAGGTTCACTTTGGGGGAGCTCTGCTCCTTTCATTGAGCATGGCTTCCTGGCTCCCAAGGGAAAAAAAGTGCTGTTCAATCTCCAGGAAAAGCTGTCATATTGGCTTCCTGATATACACTCTGCTGTTATCATCGGAGGAGCTTGGGACTTCCCTGAGGATATCTGTGGTACTTTTCAAGGGAGCCTGGTCCTTATTTTGAGTGTTGCTTCTTATTTCCAGCACAGAACCCTCAGCCTGCACAAATCCTTCACTCCACTGGCATAGACTTCCCAGCTTTCACTGCTGCCCTTTAGGCCTTCCAGGCACAGATCTGCGAAATTGACTTGCATGAGTCATGGGCTCTACGTCTCAGCTGGACTCATGCAGGACATTACTGTTGACTCAGGCCCCCTGATGGATTTCCCAGGTCTTTAGTGTGGTAGACACCTTCTTTGCTAACTCAGCATAGAATAATATTATTAACTCTGTGTCTTGTATGGAATTGTTCTCCATGCAACCCCTGACCACCAGCATGGCCCCTCCTCTGAGCCCGAATCCTAGCTGTCAGTTGGCCCCACTCCCAGCCCAAACTCTGTAATCTCACAACCCTGCATCAAGGAGCATACGCTGCCCCTTCTGCTGCTGCTACCACTGCTGTTCCAGAGATCCAGGGGTGAGAATCTACTGAGCATCTACTCTGCCTCATCCCTGACACCGTCCCTTTTCCTGTGCATATTTAATGAAGTCTGGCACCTCTGTCTGGCCTGACCTGTCAAGGAGACCCAAACCTCCAAACCCGGACCACAGCCGACCCCACCCCAGCCTTCTGGGCAGTTCTCTCTCCTCACCTTCTCCTCCCTCCATTTCTCACCTCTCTCATATTTTGCACCTGGGTTAGCCGAGCTATCCATGTTCTCGTACCACCTAAGAGGGACCCTAATGGCCCATTCTGTTCCGGAATACACTGTCCACTTCCCAAGGCACAAGTACTGCCCATCTTCTAGAAGACTCCCACTCTTTGGTTGGAAATCCACTTTACCACTCTTCTAAGCACTCTCCTAAGTTCCGTTATGTACTTTAGCTCATCTTCTCCTCTCTCCCAAGGATGAAGAGTAGATTCCAGCTGTGACTCGTGTCTCACGTGTCTCAGCTGTTTCTAACACAAGCCACTCAAAAATATGTGTTTAATGTGATCATGGGGCACATGCCCGGAATCTCAGCATTTGCGAAGCTGAGGCAAGGGCATAAATTCTTAGGCCAGCCTGGCCTATACAGCAAGATCCTAATGAAAACAATCAAATAAATAAATGCTTAAGAAATGAGTGGGAGGGGCGGGGGATTTAGCTCAGCATTGCAAACACCTGCCTGGCAAGTACAAGGTTGTGAGTTTGATCACTGGTATGCGGGGAGGGGAGGCCATGAATGGGAAGCCATAAAGACAACTGATTAGGACATAAATAGTACTATCATACTACCATGGGATTGACTGCTAAGAACAAGGAATCTGTCACAACAAGAAGAGCAAGGAAAATACAGTTACTATTGTCACCTTATTAGATGTGACTGAAAAGGGACAAAACACTATCATCTTGATGTTCACATCCACATACTGCTGAGTCCAAAGAAATGCAAACAAGCAGGTTTTAAAACTATATTGGCCTTTTCCACACGCCTGTGACCCTACCACCGGGAGACTGAGGCTGAAGGATTGTCATGAGTTCAAGGACAGCCTCAACTATACAGCTAGACCCTGTCTGAAAAACAAAAACAAAAACAATCCAAAGAAACAAAATAGGCTTTTTCAAGAAAATATTTATCTCAATAAGGCGGAGGGAAGCACAAAGGATAATAAAAATATATTCTTCTGAACTCCTAAGTTTTGCTTTTACCTAGCAGCCCACAGAATCTCACCATCATCTGTTTCACCTCAACTCAGCATTACACCGAGTCGTCTTCTGCAGTTCTTATTTTCTAAAATTCAAATCAAGGACATAACCTGAAGCTCTCACACACATTTTGCATTTACTTAGTTAAAAGTCCTCCTGAGCCTTTATTCTTAACTCTTAAATTGCATGTGCTTTGAGCATTAACCTCAAAGGCTTGCAGAGATTTATAAAACATGCTTCCTTAAGTAAGAAATAGGAGTTAAAGAATCAACTATTACCTAATCAAAGGACAGATCACTTTTGAACATAATTCTCCATAGTTTAACCTCAGCAGCCCCAAAACAGATGAAATTCTATTAGTGTTGTTCATCTGATAAGTACTGTGGGCATCAGCTTCATCTCAAAATGTTGCTTTCTTTTAGTGAAGCAAAGGTACAATTTTAAAGTGTATCTGAAACATGCCTGGATTAGAGATTAAGGAAAGCAAATCCAAATCTCTGCTCTCTGTAAAGGGAGTGTGAGCAGGTGATTATTAACTTTGGTAATTTTGTCATAGTTTTTATGTACTACAAAGCAGTTTACACTAAAAGGGTCTCTTAGCAACAAAAAGTAAGAGAAAGAAGTACTCATCTATTAAAAATTATATAATTCAGTCCCAAAACCTAGGCCATGCTGGGACCTGGAGCACCAGAAAACCAAGCAACCCTCCCCGCAGCCTGTTTTGTTTTGTTGAACTTCAGTATACATGAGGGTGTGGACAGCTATTTTGAGAACCAGAGACTCAATGAAAGCCATTAGTGACTTTCCCATTGTCTGGTTCTGAAGACCTGAAATGCCTTTCTCATTCAGTTTGGATCAGTTCTATACTATGTTGTTTTGTTGAATTCTCTGTTCTTTATGTGAAGACGTGGACAGCTATTTGGAAGAAAACAAGAGACAACATGATAGACAGTAAAGACCTCAGGTCTAGCTTTGAAATTTATATCTCTTACATTGCTTTCTTATGTCCTATTTTTTTCTGTTTTGTTGTGTTTAGTTTTACCCCCTTTAAAATAAAAATTAAAAAATTCAGTCCCAAAGGGAGACAGGCAGGTGGATTGCCACTAAATTGAGCTTCATAATGAGATCCTGTTTTAAAAAAGAACAAATCCACATATAAATAACAAAGCAGAAAAGTAACTACCCTGAATCATGAGCTGCCATCAGTATCCAGGCAAAGGAAATAATGCTAAAAGCAATATACTTCACAGCAAGATTTATTAATACATCCAAAAGAAAGAAAGAAAAATCATTTTGTCACACTATATACAGATAATACATACAGTTTTATACACATATTACATCAGTTTTTACACAAGAAAAATATACATAAAAATGTAAACTTTTGTATACAAAAACCCTTAAACAAATTAAACAAGGACCAGATAACAAAAGGAGACCAATCCATTATTATTTCATCAAATTTTAAAACAGTAATACAGTACATTCATTGAGATATATATGGAAAATGTGAGCCTCTCTTCTTGTTTAAAGGGAAATTACAAACCCAAAGCCCACCATCCGCAGTCTTCTCCACCAGCGACACATCCATTGCCATGATGCAGCTTTTCATCAGAGATGGGGCTCCTCAAAGAGGCTGCCCATCTCCTCTTTTGCTTTCTGTGCAGACCAAATATTTAAAAAAGAAAAAAAGTGGCTTCTATTTTTTGTGCATTTAGCTAAGCTTGCAGCTACTGCTAACATCGAGGAGAAGGTTCTTGGTTTGTAAATTCCCTTTAAGCAGCTTTTTTGTTTTCTCCGTATTTTTAATGTATGGCATATTAAACATACTTGTGTGCCAAGGTGAATGAGCAACACTGAGAAGGGGCTTTGAGAGATGCTACTCCTTGCTACCGTGCAGTTTACTGTGTCAGAAGAGATTTTAAAACTGTCCAACCTGTCCTTTATCGATTTCAAATAAGCTACCTCACCTTTGATTTCCCACTGCAACTTGGTTTCGACTTACACTTCACTGCCCTAGTGAATACCACACACCTGCCAGGAGGCTTTTTGTTGTTGTTGTTAAAGGCTGCTTCTGATATCAAGTTCCAGCTAAGCCACTCTGAAGTCATTCAACCCCCAAATGCTCCATCATGATCTTCAGGGGTACCCTCACACCACACGCCGCGGCCCCCAGCATCGCACTACCTAGGACTGTCCAGCTGCCGTTCCCTCTCTGCAAGTCCTGGAGATGTAATCTGCTGGCAACTCATCACAATGAAGTCGTATTTAACAGTATGGTCTGAACACTCTTGCATTCAGTGTGCCAAACTGAAACACAAATGAAAAACACCTGAAGCTGTGGGGAATAAGAATTAAGTCTACTCAAGCACATGCAACTTAAAGAGTCAAGAAGAAAGGATCAGGAGGACTTTTAACCAAATAAATGCAAAAATGTGCGTAAGACAGCTTCAGGAAAGAGCTGTCTTCCTTCAAAGTTGAATTCTGAACAAGGCAGAATAACAATTAGGTGATATATTTCCCTGCAGCGAGAGAGTAGTTAACTTACCCCCAGGCAAAATGGTCTCACTGATCATTATTTATTAATGAAAGGAAGAGGCAAATTGGTGAATTCAGTTGATGTAGGACATGGTGGATTACACATGCTAATGGAAATATTAGGATCACTTAATAAATAAACAGGCTGGGCCGTGGTACATTTCCATTTCAGAGAGAGAAAATGCACCAAGTTCTTCAGGTAAATCTTGTCTCTCCCTGGACAGGTGGCATTTTAAAAAATGACAGTCTCCCTTTCAGTTAAAGAAACATAATAAAAGGAAAAGAGAGATAAATAAATAATTGTGGATGTTTGGATGAGACTTCTAAATGTTGTTAAATAATTTTTGACAATGTCCTTTAAATCATTACATACAATCACCAGGGTGGTGGCGATATTCCAGTGGGGGCAGCATTTGGCTAAATGCCATTTAAAACTCATACATGTACATGTGTATATACAGTTCTATCCACATTGTTTATATACATATATATCCAGAGCGCAACATCTCACTGCCTTTGAATATATCCATGTGCACTCCCACATACCTACAAGAGATATACTGTGAGAGTGACATCACAGCACATGTACACATGTGCCAACATGTATATACACGTGTGTGTGCAGAGGGCTTTAAAGGCACAATATATAGGGATTCGAGTTTTCTAGAGCTTCAGCAAAGACAAAACAAGGTCACAACTGCAAGGAAAAAGCGAAAGGAAACAGCAGAATTCATGACACGAGAATCCATTAAAGGTTTCATCATCAAAGCAGTCACAGAACTCAAGAGGCTGAGATGGGACTTGGGATGCTTCCACTACAAGGCAAATTTTAGATTATACTGAAAGTAAAGCAAATTCCTTAAATGGCAATTCAGTGACAAGTGTATAAAAAACCTAACGCTCAGTAATATTAGTCATAAAATCCTAAGAGGTTTTTTTTTTTTTTTCCAAGTAAAATATCCCCAAAATGATCTACGCAAAAACTTTCAAAATTAGTTTGGTTTGAGTATTGGCTCTGAGTTTGTTTCTGAGATGAATACTACTGCCCAATCATTAAGATTACCACAGAAAATCTTTCTACAAGTTGTACCTTTTCAGAAAAGTTCAGAGACAAAGATCTTTAAAAGAAACAGTTTAGAAGCCTGTGAAATATGTTTAAACCAAAGGCTCCTAGCTAGAAAAGTTAAAGTCAAGGAGGGGAAACACAGTCATTAGTGACATGCTCCCCGAAGTGATGAGAGATTAACTAGAAGCTAGTGAAGAGCGGGGCCCTGCGAGAAGGAACAGGTAGACCAGGTTTGCTTTCATGACAGCCACGAAGAAGACTGCGATCTAAAGGGCATCCACTCAGGATGCTCTGACGCTGCAGACCACCGCCTCTGCAGGCTCACAAAGTAACCCAGAATTTTTCATGGACAGAAGGCTGTTTACCTATTATACACACACATTTTTAGGGAAACTTATGTATATAGCTTTATCTATACACACACATATACATACGTGTATATATAGATTTATACAAATGTATAAATAAATGTAATACTTTTCAATCTTTCCAATGACAAGGCAAGTTCACATTCAGCAAAGTGCCACCACATCCCGTATACACATCTCTGTACAGATATACACAAAAGGGTCTGTTTCCACCCTGCAATCAAAGGGAATTTACTGTAACAAATCCCACTAGCCAGCAACTGAAGGGAGAAATGGCACCAATACAAACTCCCTTCTTTCATTTGCATGCATATGTACAAGGAATATGCAGATTTCTTAACGTCCAAAAGCAAGAATGAATGAAACAGAGATGCTAAATGCAAATGTGAGGAAGAACACAGAAGGCTTTCCTAGGTCTCCTAAGATGAAGGAGGCCTCAAACTATAAACTCAGATGTATCATCACAAGTCATTGTGAAATACTTCCGAGTACAGGAAAATTTTTTAAATACTAAAAATGTGACTAGAGTACTTAATTCTAGTTCTGAATATTTTATACCACAAGATATGCCAATACAGAATGTATAGCAAAATAATAACTTAAAACTCAAAATGTAGAAATGTATTTTTAAAAAAATTTCCACATGAATCAATCAAAGTCAAGGGTTGCCCAATTTTTCCAAAAGATGAGCCCAGGAGCACTCTAGCTTCATCACTAAGGGCACAGCTGAATAAAAGGTTTAAAAGTGTTTTGGAAACCGCTGAAATCATCCTACTTGTGAAATATGTGTGGTGAACTGATTCCACCAACTCCCTAAACAAAGCAGCCCCTTTAAATAATTCATAAAGGCCCATAATTTTCCTTAACTTCACCAAGAAAAGAAAATCAATAATATCTTAAATTTGGAAACAAAATCTATTATTAACATTAAGAAAGCTCAACAGATCCCTGGTCCCACGATCCCGGTAAACACAGCTCCTGTCTGTCTTGCCCTCTTCTGCTTTCTACGTTCCAAAGTGAGAGGTTGGTCCTGGAATCTGCTGGTTTTCACGTCACTTTGAAAACCTAAGTTCACTTAAAGGTGAAAATAAAATGCATGTGATATCAGAGCTAGCCTTTTAACACAACAGCTTAAAGAATTCGGTGTATTTATACAACAGACACAAGACAGAAACTCTCACACCCTTGGCTACATGAACCACAGTTCTACAGTACATCCGGTTACCTTCCTGTGTCTTTACACAACTACACATTCACCTCTCTCATACGTGTGCCCCCAAAGTATAGTTTTGCGTGTGTAAAAAAGACATAAACATGCACATAAGAAACTTAAAGTCACAGTGGGAATTCCTTAGTGAGGAGGGATAAAAAAATTTCCTGAATAAGACACTGAAAACAGCTATTATTTTCTCTATTTTTACTTCCCAACTTACAGAATAAACTATAAATTAAAGAACAAATCCATAGGAAATAAAAGAGGTCTTAAAACTTGTTTATAACTTCCAGCTACAGTAGTTGGAGTTTTACTTGATCTATGTACTTCTATTTACCCTGTAACTAAGCTTCTAGCCATTTTACGTGTAAACCACAGATCATTCACTAAAGAACGTGATTTTCAACAGTCCTATCCACAATAATAAATGGTCTAAAGGTATTCTACGTTTGGAGGCCCCAGGATACCCTTTTGTTTATATATCTGCAAGGTAGCAAAGGATAGCGTACACCCTGACACGGCAGAGATCCAGTGTAAAAAGGTGCTTCACTAGTTTGTTATGTCAAAAAAAAAAAGCTCATATATAATTTTAGCTATTAAACACATAGCAACATAATTCATTACACTCAATACAGCTTTAGTATAAAACTTATAATTTATGAGGTGATGTTAATAGCATAAATTAATATACCTTTTCTCTTAAAATCTACAATAAGTATTCTGAAAGCTCATTGGGGCAGGAAAGTTTTAAATAAAAAGTTTTAAAGCTGTGCATGATGGGAAGAAAGGAGTCTACAGATGCTGGAGCTGAGATGAGAGCCGAAGCAGCAAGGAAGGAGTCCTAGGCAGACACCGCGGGCTATGAAACCAAATGTTTTCTTTCTTGCGCTCTCTTCAATGATGAGTCACCTTTAGTTTCAAAAGTATTTTTTTAAATTTTATTTTAAAAACTGCCCTAATTTCCGCAAGGAATCCCTGAGACATACTCGATACTAGACAGTGAGAAGAACTATCACTGTTGAGAGGAACTGATTCAACCCTTCCAAACAAATGAAAACAATGTCACCAAGTGTCACATGTCCCATCCAGGTAGCGCTCAGCCATACCGGAAGGATGCGGGCTGGGGCCGCTGCAGGCTGAAGCAGTCCACACCCCAGGACAAGCAGTGTTGGTGCACAGAGCCGCCCTTGTGGCGACAGCCCTGCTGCCCTTGGGGACCTCTGGGTGCAGAGAGAGCTTACTTCGGTGGTCCCCGACTTGAACAAATGAACAGAAACAACGAAAAACAAGTGAAAGAAGAGGGTTCTACTTCTGTGCCCAAGAGCACGGGCGCTCGTCCTCGGGCCAGGCAGGAGGGGGAGGGAACCCCCCAGCAGACCCCTCTTCTCACCAGGCTGTTTTCAGAATCAATGTTAGGTCCCCCAACCTCTGCTCTTCGACTCCCCAAATACTTCCGATTAGGGAACACAAGGTAAAGGAAATCACACCAAATGTACTCTTTCAGAAATGCCCCATCGCCTTGGATTAGCTGTGTCACAGTGCAGAGAGGTAAGAGAAAGACAGCGAGGGGTGAGGGGGGAGCGGAGGGGAGGGGAAAGGAGGAGGGGAGGGGGGAAGCTTAGGAGGGGGAGGGGGGAGAAGAGCTCACAGAAAATAAGGGCTGGAGCAAAAAGGAAGAGGCTCCCTAAGTCTGACCCACGGTTGTAGCACTGTTGACAACTGCTAGCAGAAGACACGAATGTATTCATGCTTCCCAACTCTTGTGCCAGGGGAAAAGGGGTAGTAGCCAGTATGTGTATATGTTCTTCACTTACATTTTATTTCAAATCTTTTGAAAGACAGGATTTAAAATACTGCTTTAATCTACTAAACCTGATTTTGGTTCCCTTTAGAATATGACACAGGAAAGTTTACAAAGGCCAAGATATCAAGAAATCATTTCACTGTTTTACTTTGCTAAGGAATGCCAATGAAGATCTGGTTATTTTCAATTACAGATATTCATCATTACATGTAGACCGATAGATAGGTAACCAAGAAAATACATGTTTTATTAGGGAAAAAGTCCTTAAAACAATCAAGTACTGGTAAAGGAGGGTGACAAATGGAGATCGTTGGGTGTGATAGACTTTCCTTCAAGGAATCCTCTGAACTGCCTTACTAAACTGAAGTCTTGTTGACCATTTAGTAGATGATTCTATTAGACTGTTCAACGTGTACCAGAATAACAGAATTTAGTAGAATCTTAAAAGGAAGGATGAAGTAACTGACAAGTACACACCCAAAATAATTTTAATGAACTTCAAACCTATTAAATAATGACTTTAGTGTTAATACTCAGGTTTCTGCGGTACCGATGCACAAGCTTTCGGCCATGCTGGAGCAGAGCAGAGCTGCCGTGGGAGGCACTGCACCCAGGCCCACAACACTCCCAGCACCCCAGCAGCAAGGCAAGGCATGAGAAGGGCTGCAGGCTGGGACCGGTGAGCGGGCAGTCGCAGAGAGCCGCTGCAGACCCGAATTCTCACGCGAGTTACCAACAATCTGAGCTACAGGTCCTCTGAGACCCAACTCCTTCCCTGTGAAAGCAAAGGGCAGGGCAGGGCGCGGGGCACGTGGGTGGCACGCCGAGGGGGGGACTGGGGCGGGGAACCAGGGAGGACCGCTCACTGGCCAGGGGAAGCGGTAGTGTCAGTCACAGAGAAAGAGCTGACCTTCGGTGCAGAGATGAATCTGAAGTGCATCTTATAAACAGTCATTTGGCAAAAATAAAGTCTTAGGTCTCTTTAGCCTTAAATCACAAAAGGTGAGAAGGCCTAATTTTAACAAAAATAAAACTTAATCACTTTCCGACTTGCTCTCCATTCTGACTACCTGCTTCTCATTCAGTTATATCTTCTCAGACAGGGACAGGCAACACCACACTGCCTGCCGATGTGTGACTGCTCAGGGGTCACTTATCAAGCAGGTATATCGCACAGTTAGGTCTTTCAGAGAAAATAATCCTTTTGCTGTGTAAGCTGTGCGACTAGAAGTAGAAAATTTTTCCCATTGCATAGTCTGTAACTTGGGTGGGTTAAATATAATTGCTATTTACTATCCTGAAGTGTTTACTAGCTACTAACTACCCAGACTCGATAACTGCTAAGCTGTTTTGACACAGGAAAAGACAGTGCCTTGTGTGCTTTTATTAAAATGATACTGATGGTTGAAGGAGAGAAAGCCTGCCTTGTCATCAGATGCTGGAAATCACAGTCAGTGAGTAATGACAGGTCCTCAGAGAACAGAATGCGTCCATGAACGGCAGCAACGCTGAATAGTAAGTCACAGTATGTACAAATCTAACTGGCCTTTGTGAATGGTCCCAAGCACTGCGGAAACAGTGAACTCCCTTTGCCACTATTCCTGTGTGTTACACACTAGAGTAAGAGCTGCTTTCTACCTAATTACAAACTGTCAGAAGATGTTTTTCATTCCAGTACTGGCTTCTGATCACAGAAGTGCTACGTCAAAAGACATCAATTTCTATAATTTTGGAGTGAAAGGTACTTCATTCTTGGTGTTCCTACAGCAAACCTCCCACTAACAGGTTAGAACTGCTCCAGTTCGTAACAGAAAAACACAACAGACATCTCTGGGCTTTTAGATGGTCTTCTCTCTTCTAACAAGGGACTCACAGAAACAGCAAAGCGGAGTGAAAGCTTGGGTATTTATCTGGAAGTAGGTGAAAAGAGGAAAACTATTTCTGTTAATTACTCAACCCTACTCTGGTGCTTTCTGGGAGTGCCCTTGCCTGCATTAGGGCCATCTCCACAGAGTGACTGCACTGAACGTTTTTGGTGTGAAGCTGTAACTGGCAACATCCCCGATCCTTCCACACCTCCTTCCTAGAAAGCAGACAAGGGCTTTTAAATGCACATAACACAGAACACTGCGAACAAATCAGGTGCAACTTACTATGAACTCAGTTCTGACAGCTGAAGAATTTTAAGCAACTAGCACAAGGAACAAAAAGCCAGAAAAAGTTCAAATCAACTACCGCGACTTCTTCACTGCCAAAAGACAGACGAGGAAGTCCACGTGCTGTGCGGCTGATTAGTACACAACAGAGAACAGACCAAACCACCAGCAACTCAGCCAGTGGGTGATGGTTCTAATGGGATATGAAAACAGCTTAGCAAACTAAATGACACTTTTGAGCGGAGGTAACTACTCATCAGTTCATTACAGTGCACTAAAGTAAAAAAGTTTACCGACATAGGTGAGAATTATTCAAATTATCTGCTCTCACCGCTCAGAATAGAAATTTACGGTGATACCAAATATAATTTTGCTTTGTGACATAATTTATAATTTAGAAATTTCTCAATCTGCAAAAAAGACAAAAGCTATTAAAAATAAATCTTCCAATCAATAAACATGATTCTTTAAAAAAAAAAAAGTAAATATATTATAAACATATTTTTGGCCCCCCAAAAAAACTTCAATAAATACAAAACAGGGCCTATCATGTGTTCACACAGGCATGTGACTTTTCCCCCATAAGCTCAGGCACGTGGTAGCTGCAGATTGCCTCCTCATCAGCATCATTCTCCTAAAAAGCGGAGAAAGGAAAGCTTTCAAAACAAGGGTCTGGTTTGAACTAGCACGGCATGAACACACATATAGGAAGTAGGAAAACACATCAGATTTTTACCTGTTAGTAAAGAAGGAAGATGCAATGCTCCCTGACCAATGGATTGTTGTACCACATCATTAAACATAAGCTTTACTTATCTTTTAGAATATGCATGTGTAAATCCGACTGGACTCTGGTATAAACTGCCAGTGGTACTGAGGGACAATGAACCTTCACAGCAAAAGTAAAGATGCCTTTAAAATCTAGCTCCACCCTTCTGGGGGACGGGGGGCAGGGGGAATCATCCGTCACATATTCATTTCATAGTTACCGACGTACTAAACTACCCAATGTGACTTTTAATCCTAAAATTCTGACACTTTAAAAGGATTTCCCCAACCTACTTCCAAATTTACTTAAACTTAAGTACTTAAATTATTTTAAAAGTACCAAATACTGGTATGATTTGTCTAATTTCCACATTCTGCTTTGAAACAAACTTTAAAGTGTGTTATCCTTCAGATATTACACATCACTTCACAACTGGTACACTGATTCTACAAGCATCTTCGACATTTTACAAATCTTACCAAAGAATTACTACTGTAAACATGAAAAATTCAAAAGCAAAAGATGGACCAAGGAGTTCACAGATTTCATCTTTCAAATCTACCTCACCTATTCTGCCTCTTCACAGCAAAGAAATTCCCTCCATGACATCTAGCGAATGTGCTCCACAGGGGCGGGGGAACTTAAAGGCAAACCTGGAAAGGCCAAATGGACCACCCCGGGCCACCTCCCTGTGACACCCGCTGCTGACACGACCTCCGCTTCCTGCGCCCCGCTGCCTCGTGGACCGACTCTTCGCAGAGAAAGGTTGTGCTGTTCACGCGACCGGGCCACCCACCTCTTCGTTCAGTAAATTTTAATCAGCTCAGTGGGCCAGGAGGAGCAACATTACCAGGGTGTGAGACGGAAGAAAGGAAAAAAAGAGCCTTCTACCCATTACAGGAGGTTGCAAAACAAACAAGTAACAAACAACGGGACAGCTACTTCCTGCACTGCACGGAACACGGCACGGGCGCGCACTCGCAGGCGGGCGCAGGCGCAGGTGACCAAGACTGCGATCGCGGGTGGGCGGGCAGCCAGGGCCTGGTCGCCTCTGCTCTCCACACTCCCGCCCGGCACGGCCGCTCTGCCTGGACCTGGGCACTGGCAAGGGCACTGGGGATCTGAGGTATCTTCCGCTGGCTGTCGGGCCCCTTGGCTGCGCCCTTGCTTACTCGTCTCCAGTCACCGGGCCGAGCAGCCGGGAAGGAGCACCAGTGCCGAGCGCGGGGCGTGGGGACACGGGCGGGCGGCGGCTGGGCCGCCTGCACCTCGGGAGCTGGCTGTCGGGAAGGGCAGAGCGGGCGCTGAGGAGGGACCAAGAAGCCCGGCGCCGCCGGCTCAGCGCGGAGAGGGGAAGGGCGCGGCGGCGCTGCCCGTCACCGCCAGGCCCGTGGGCGGCGCAGTGGAGCTGTGGCTGGGCTGCAGGTCCTTGGGGATGCCGCTGTGCGCGCTCAGCTGGTGGCCGAAGGCTGCGCTGAACTGCGGCAGCTGCTGCTTGGGCGAGGCAGAGGCCAGCAGTTCGGCAGCAGCGGGGAAGCCCGGGCCCGGGCCCGCGCTGCTGGGCGTGGCAGAGGTGAAGGCGGGCTGCGCAGCCTCGGTGCTCGAGGTCGCGGGCGGCGTGGACAGAGCGGTGGACAGCAGATGCCCATCGGCGCCCAGCAGGTTGCTGAACGGTGAGGGCTCACTGAGGCCGGCGGCAGAGAGGCTGCCCCAGTGCGGCCTGGGGTTCGCCGCGCCGCCCAGCGGCGCCTCGAGCTGTGTGGGCAGCAGGTGCTGCGCCAGGAGTGGCATCTCCGCAGGGAAGGCAGCGGCCACGCCGTCCCCCGCGAAGGCGGCCGCGTGTGCGGGCGGCGAGCCCAGTGGGTCGCTGTAGGGGGACGGCACGGGCTCGCCGTCGTAATGGCTTCCGGGGCGCGGGGAGCGGGGCTGGTCACTGCTGTATTGCTGTCGTGAGGTGATCAGGTCATCCGCCTTGCTCAGCAGCGCGGCAGGATGGGGCCTCTGCGAGGCATGGCTGCCGTCATGCACACCAGGGAACGGGCCTGGCGCGGGGAAGGCTCGCTGCTCCCCGAGCGCACCCTGGCTGAGGAGAGGGGCAGGAGTAAGGCCGACGCTGGCGGGGGCGGGGAACGGGCCCTGGAGCTGCCCCGCCAGGGGCGCAGGGGGCGTGGACAGGGTGGCGGAGCGGAGCAGGCTCTCATCCAGCTCCAGGCTGGAGAAGTTATCGGGAACCACGATGCGTCCATTCAGCAGCTCCCCCAGGTCCGTGTTCGCATCTCGGCTCAAGGCCTGCATTCCCGCAGCTCCGGTGCCCGCGGGAAACACTCCGATGCCCCTGTCTGACAGCTCCTGCATGGACACAGCGTCCGTGTGGGAGAGGACCCCGATGGTGCTCAGGCACTCGAGCGACGTGACGGCCTGCAAGGCCCGCTCCAGCTCCTCAGCCTCCTCGCTCATCGGGAGCAGGTCTCCATTCTTGCCTGAGTTGGGAAAGGCAGCAAGAATCAGGAGAGCGCATGGCTGGCTATGGCACGATAATCTTAAATTTCAACTAACTTAAGCAACAATGCATTGTAAGAGCCTCCCTCTGGAAAAGGAACGGTTCTGAGAATTGGCTTGGAAGGAAGAAATGAAATACTAATTTACAGGGACAAAGCTAAAACATCAACTGTCCCGAAACTGAGACAATCACCTTCAGTATATTCATATTATTCTTTTTTTTTTTTGGTCTTTATCCTTTCTATCGGTACCAGGGATCAAACTCATGACTGCCTGCTTGCAAGGCAGGCGCTTATGCCACTGAGCTGAATCCCCAGCCCCATTCATAGTATTCTTAAGCATTTTATCAACTGGTGCATGGTGGTGCATGCCTGTAATCTCAGCTACTCAGGAGGCTAAGGCAGGATGATTCCAAGTTCAAAACGAGCCTAGGCAACATGGCAAGACCTTGTCTCAAAATAGGGCTCCAGTACTGCCCGAAAGAAAGTAAAACAAAAGCCTTTTCATTAGTTTCTTAGAATGCCTGTGGATTACCAATTTAAAACCCATAATGACCATGCGGCATGTTTTATCTAAACTTACATCAACGTCATGAAAAGAGAAAGCAAAGCCCTGTAGACCAGGCGTGCATTGCTGGGCTGTGGCTTCTTCCTCCAGGCTGGAGTGCAGTGGGGAACTAGAACCAGAACTTCAGGCTCGCCTTTCGTGGCACAGCACTGTGCACTCCGTTCACCGCATGCCTGATTCCTTTTCAAAACACTTTTGCTTTGCTCGCTAATCCTTCTGATTCTTGCCCAGTTTTGCAGCCCACAAACACACTTTGATTTTAGTTTCAATATTTTAAAAATCTATTGATTAATCGATGTAGAAATATCCAATTTTTAGTGCCCCCCCAATCCAAAAGTGTAAAATATAAAAACCACTGGGATGAAGCACACTTTATTCAGGAAAAGTATGCTTTAGCGGAAGGGCGAAGAGGGGATTAAAGTTAGCACAGGCCCCTTTCTCTCTTCCCCTCCACTACTGGGCCCTGAACCCACGCTATCCACACGCTATCCCACTGCTCCACAAGCCCAGCCTTTGTTATTATCTGATTCATTTTCAGACAGAGTCTTGCTAAGCTGACCAGAATGGCCTTAAATTGGGGATTCTCTACCTTACACCCCTGAAGAGTTAGGATTAAGGCATGTACCACTACACTGTGCAAAATTAGGAAACACTTCTAAAAAACTACAATAAACATAGTTTAAATGTCCTTATTTTAATAAGTAAAATTATTCATTTTAAAGAAATGAGGTTGCAGACCTCACCATCCAAGTATAAATCTCTAAGTATATAATATGATTAAACAAGGTACACAGTCTTCACTTCTGCAAAGCTAAAAATCATTTCAAATCACTGAAGACTTTAAATCACTGAAAAACATGTTATATAAGGAGGAACGTGTCAGATTCCTGCCCCCAAATATTTCCCATCCTATAAACTTACTCTTTAGCCAAAAGAGTGACCATTAGGCTGGGTGTAGAGGGTCATACCTATAATTCCAGCACTCAGGAAGCTGAGGCAGGAGGATGACTGCAAATTTGAAGCCAGCCTGGGCTACAAAGTGAGTTCAAGGCCAGCCTAGACTACACAGTGAAACCTTGTCTCAAAAAATGCAAAACAAGGGGCTGGGGATTTAGCTCAGCAGCATAAGCGCCTGCCCTGCAAGCACGTGTTCGGGAGTTCGATCCCCAGTACCGATAAAAAAAAAAAAAATTGACATGAATGAGGTGTTTTAGGGGCTGGAGGTTTAGCTCAGCGACATAAGCCCCTGCCTTGCAAGCAGGCAGTTGTGAGTTCAATCCCCGGTACCGATTTAAAAAAAAATATTTTTTTTCTTAAAAAATCCAAAACAAAATTGACCATACCTTCAAAAAAATCAAAATCCTGTAGGTCATCAGGTAGCCTGGGCAGAACGTCAGAGAAGTCCTCCTGGTTCAATTCCAAGTCGTGTGGAATGTCGCTGATCTCATTGGCAATGTCCTCCGGCAACTCATCAGCACTCAGCTCTGGGGTGGACGGGCTCCTGGAAGACAAGGTAGTTGGTCCTGGGACATCGCCCTCCTCACAATGTCCCCAGGTCGAGCTCACTCAACACAAAAAGAGCCTGGTGTCAGTTATGGGGTGTGTACTCAGTACCAGCAGGGACCACTGAGACAGACAACATTTCCTCCACATTGCACAAAACACAGACATGGTCAAAGGCAGTCACGGATTTCAGGGACTGAGACAAGACAATCCATGAGATGGTAGTTGCACTTTAAGAGAATGAGTCACAATTTGATTTATCAGGCATAGGTTAGTACTTTTCAAATCTGGTCAAAAGAACTTTAAAAAATGAAATCAGGACCGAGGATTTAGCTCACTGCTGTAAGTGCCCGCTTGGCAAGCACAAGGTCATGAGTTCAATCTCCAGTACCCCCCCCCCAAAAAAAAGAAAAGAAAAAGAAAGAAGGGGCTGGGGATTTAGCCCAGCTGCATAAGTGCCTGCCTGGCAAATGTGAGTTTGTGAGTTCAATCCCCAGTACCAAAAAGAAAAAAAAAAAAAAAAGAATTAAGAAAAATAAACAGGTAAAATGCTGATAAAGCTAATAATGTGTCATACATCTTACGAAATACTCCTTAGAATACATGGAACCCACTGTAAAACAGGAAAACCAGAGCACACACCATTACACTCTCAACTTCGGCATCTGTTCCCTTTGCTGTAATCAAAGTTTTAATGTTGGAAACGTGTACACAAGGCCGGGCATGGTGCCGCAGGCCTGTAATCCTAGCACTCCACTTGGGAGGCTGAGGCAGGAGGAACGCTTCATGAGTTTGAGGCCAGACTGGGCTACACAAAGACTCAAGGCCAGCCTGAACTGCACAGTGAAACTGTCTCAAAAAAGGAAAAAACCCCATCTGTACACAAGCCTACAACACAACCCCAGGCTTAGGGTCCTGAGACCCCATGGTAGGTGGGAAGCACTAAGTGGGCACACTGACCGGAGCGGGGCGGCCTCCACTGGCAGTACGATGCTGGCGGGCATGCTGAGGTTCCCCTGGGGCACGGCGGGGGGTATGGGCTTCTGCGGGCGGCGCGGGCCCCGCCGCCGCTTCTTCTTGTGTTTTTTGGTAAGTGCGGGAGGCTTGGTTTTCTTCCTGGGTTTCCGAGGCTGCTGGTGCTGCACCTTGCGGGAGCTGTCTCCTCGCAGGAAATCATCCTGTGGGCGAGCAGGACAGGCTCTGTGACCCCGAGGAGTGGAGGATCGCTCCCGCCTGCCGTGCTCACGGTGCCACCTCTGTCCAGGGGGCGATCACAGACGCCAAGGTGGGTCCGCAGACCTCACATCACCCAGTGTACCCCACACACCCCCACGGGCCTCTGAGGCTCTCAGAGCGGCTGTGTTTTGCCTACTTTAAGACATATATTCACCTTTGGAATCTGTTTCTTGTAAAATCTAATAACAAATTCTGGCCGTGTTCTTTTACTAATTTGTGTTTACTTATGAAAAATGATGATAATTTTATGCTATAATATATAAAAGTTTATCATAAGAACACTGGCTATGATCCTGTACTTCTCCAAAACTCAGGGATACTCCTCTACAACAAGAACAGACGCTGAGACTGAACAGGGAAGAAGTGCCAGCAGGTCTGCAAAGGAGAAGCTGGAAAAGGGAGAAATGGCAGCCTATCAGAGAAGAAGACCCTGCGGCACGAAACGGAAGACAGAAAGGACATCACTTTATTGTCAAATATTCATAATACAGAAATGATAGAACCGGAAAGAAATGAAACCAAACAATTCTACTAGTGCACAGTGATTATTGGAAGTCTATGAGTGGTGTTGACAGATTTGTAACATCTAACAAATTATCCTGTAATCAAAAAGCCAGGAGACAGGCCAGGTGAGGCAGTGCACACCTGTAATCTCAGCACTCAGGAGGCTGAGGCGGAAGGGTCACTGCAAGTTCAAGGCCAGCCTGCGCAACTTAGTAAGCCCTATCTCAAAAATAAATAAAATAAAATAAAATAAAGGAAAAATATTATAAAACATTTATGAACCTTCTGGACCGAATAATGTATAACTCATTTGATATTTATTCGCAATAAAGGGGTTCAAAAAGTCATTTACAATTCAGATTAGAGTTAAGAGACCAAATGGTTGAAAAACACGGAATAGTGACATGCCAGCCAGGACAGCCATCAGTGATGTTCTCAGCATCACGTGCAGTGAGCAGACATGTTACTGAAATTACCCATCTACAGAAAAAAACAAAGGCCAGCATGACAGGATGCAGCATGTTACTCGAAGAGGGTGGATGCAAAACAGAATCGGAAAGAGACTAGATAGTGCTGTCGAGACTATAGCCCTGCATGGTATAATGAGTGTTTTAAAATGTGCCATTATCTTCAAAAGTTCAATACATTTAATAAACTTGCCATTTTTACATTTCCTGTTATCTTACAAAATGAACAACAGGGAAAAAAACTATGCAATTTTTGTTTTTAAAATAATTGGACTGGTAAATAGTTTTAAAAAAAAACAAAACAAAACAAAACAAAACTGTGCTGGGTGTGGCAGCGCACATCTGCAATCCTAGCACTAGGGAGACTGAGGCAGCGGAGATCACTAAAGGTTCCAGGCCAGTTTGGGCCACATAGTGAGTTTAAGGTCTGCCTGAACTACATAGTGAGACCTTGCCTCAAAATATAACCGAACAAAGAAAGTAAGAAACATAAACAACAACAAAAAGCAAAAATAGAAGGATTTCTAAAGTTTTTACTGTAAAAAAAGATCAATGCTTGTTTGAGATAGGCTTAAGCTGACAAGCATTCCACAGTGTGTCCCTGCACTGAGAGCTCAGACGTTGTCCCGCTAATGTGCACCATTTGTGTTTTTGTAGCTCAGAGATCTGCAGACCAGAGGACAGAAGAACCTCCTTTGGTCTTCCAGCTAACCCTGACAGGGAGGAGGAGTTAAACTAGCTCCAGAGGGATTCCCCTGGGAAACAGGTCAGGGATGGGGTGAGAAGGAAAAACAGATAAAGAAAGACATCAGATGACCTTGGGAGTCGCACCAAGGGATCAGAGAAAGAGCTTGGACAGGCAGGATGCAGAGAGAGCCAGGCACACCAATGATAATCCAACCTGACCCAGGGAAACACTGGGGAGCGCAGGGTGAGTGTATGGGTGACTAACATTAAGGCAGTGTGTACTCACATCTGTGCACCAGTATTTACACACACGTGTTCACTCTAGAGTCACTGTATTATTCATTCCAGGGTCCTTGTGGAGTACAGCGGATACCCACTCCCTCTCACTGACTCTAACCTACCGTAAATAAGACCCCCCACACACACACAGACTAGTGGCTACCCGGGAGATGAGGCCTTGAAAGGTAGGTCAAGGACAAAGAACAGACAGAAGGACGGCGCATGTAGACCACCGGGAGGAACACCAGAGGCAGAGAACATTTTTGTTGTTTTTTGAACCTCTGGAATGAACACAGGGCTGTGTGCATGCTAGCAGAGCAGTCTACCAAGGAGTTACATCTTCAGGCCAGAAAAGGGCGTATAAATCAAGCCAAGTGTGATACTGCATGCTTATATTCTTGGCACTTGGGAAGCTGAGGCAGGGGGACTGCTCTGAGTTCCAGGGTAGCTTGGGTTACGTAGCATATTCAAAATCATCCTGAACTACACAGTAAGATGCTCTTGCAAATCAGGCATTAACTGATTCATATACTTAATTCGAACTTGTCCTTCCTCCAAATTATTTTGAATTAGCTAAAGCAATATAATTATAGGACAAAGCAAAATTATAGACAGATCTGGCATGTGGCCAAAATTTATATCAAATATCTGTGACATTCACAAAACAGTAAAAAAGCAAAAATTTATAGAGAAATTGAGGGCTTTGTAGTACAATGCAAAGATACAGTGAATGAAAGATTCCAGTAAAAGACACACTGCCATTAAATTCCCTCAAAGTAATTCTCCCTCTCTTTAAACACATTCATGCTATCATTTTTGCCACTTTCTTTTTGGTTCTGTTATGCGATGGTAACCCAGGCTGGCCTTGAACTCCTGGTGATCCTCCTGCCTCAGCTTCCCCAGTGCTGGGATGACAGGTGTGCAGCCTGTGCCTGGTTCGTCCTTGACACTTTCTGAAGCTGTTCTGGGGGTTCTTTTGGAGCACCTTTACCAGGTGTGCTGTCACAGCCGCCTGGGTGTCCTAAACTAATTATCTTTCATGGTTACTTTGACTAAGAGAAAGCCGGGAGGCCCGGGCACCACACAGGGTGACCAGTGTGGAGGGCCCACTGGGGTGGTGCAGAAGAGGAAGGACTGAGCAGGGGGCACGGGGACCCCAGCGGTCTCCTCTCAGTGACTACTGGTGGCATTCTCCATCTGAGCGCCCCCCCACTTTGGGGGACCTGAACCCGGCACCTGGCAGGGGGACGCGCTCACCATCTTCTTGGCGTGCTCCTCACACAGCGGCGTTTGGTGCGTGATGTCGAAGACCGGCACCGCACACTGCTGCCCGTCAGCGAACCTGGCGGTGCAGCTGGAAAAGAGCTGCTGCGAGCGGCTCAGCAGGATGTCTGGCCCAAGCTCAGGAAACTGCAAGGTTTGCAGGGCCCGCCCACCTTCCGGGTGGTGAGGTCTCTAAGCCCAGCTGCACACAAGAGGAGGTGCCATTGGCGAGCCTGTGGGAAGAGCTCGCCTGGCTAGGGGCGCCTGACCCTGCCTGGAGCTTATTTAACAGACTAACTCCTGAAACTTGCACAGCAGCCAAGTTGGCATTTTTTGGTTTGTGTGTGTGTGTGTGGGGGGGGGATTGTAATAAACTTTTCAAAACAAAATTTCCAGGTTAGGGTCTTCATCAATAATAAAAATTTAACCATGTTTGGTACTGAATGCCTGTGATCCCACTCAGGAGGCCGAGGCAGAAGGATCACTGCAAGTTCAACACCAGCCTAGGCTCCAAAGTGAATTCAAGGCCGGCCTGAACTGCATAGTGAGACCCAATCTCAAAAAGACAGGAAAAAATAAACAAAATTTTCAAAAAACTTAAATTACTATTAAAAACACATCTGTCCAAAGTTTAATTTTTCATTCTGTATTTCTAACACCAAACTCTTAATTCACAATTTATGAAAAAAAATGACTTTTAAAATCAAAATTTTACTTGAAATGGGAACACCGGTTTTGCATCAGCACTTTGGAGAAGTCATGCTCCTGGCTAGAGCACTTCTCTAACAGTTACTCCGAGAGGCCCGGAGCACAGCTCTGTGGTGGGGAAGTGCTATTAGCAAGCACCAGGAACTCATCTGATATCCCAGCATCAGAAAACACATCAATTAATCAATCAAGCAACAAAACAAAGCTCCTTTTCTATCTACTAAGGAAGTCTCTTTGTGTTTTTCCTTTATGGTGTTATAGTTATGTATAAAATTTTATTATGTAGAATCTGCTGCTGAAAAGTCTATAAAAATACAGTTCCAAGAACAGAAAGAGGGCAAAAATTAGAGTGCAAAGAAGAGTACCTTACTACCCCATAAATTTTTAAAATATTTAGTCACAGTGTTAGTAATATCTTTCTCGAGTCTGAAGCTCCTAAGTTTTCCTGTAATGTATCTTAAGGTGCCTTCTTTCCTAACCAGTGACATTTGTGAACGAGCTTGCTTTTTTTTCCTTTCACCCCCCCCCACACACACAATCTCGCTTTGCAGTTCAGATAATCGCCCTGCCTCAGCCTCTTGTTGGAATTACAGGTGTGCACCACCACACCTGCCCTGTTATCTTTCAAATGAGCACTGTACTCACTGTGAAGAGCAAACTTAATCCAGTAGCACAAGGCATGGTATGAAACTGCCTTAGAAAACTAAAAACTAGATTTTTAAACACTATGCTTTGATTTTCCCATCAATACTTGTTATAGCCACTTCTTTCAAACTATGTAGAACAATTCTATTAGCAATTAAAACCTGCTTTTAGACTCAGTTTTGTCTACAAAGCAATGACGACTCTGTTGTAATCCAGACCTCTTTCCGACTCTGAATCAGGTCCGAACCTCGAGGACAGCTAAAAATCGGGCCCCAGTTCTCCCTGAAAGAGAGGGACACAGGGCACCTCCCACCTTCCCATCTGGTCCCGACCCATCCCCTCCTGTCCTGTCCTGTCCTTTCTGGGCTCAGTGTGAGGGAGGGAAACGGGAAAATAAAGTTTTTTTTAAAAGATTGTAATGATAAAGGCAGGAGAAAAATTCAGAGGACTTCATGAACCGTGGTTATATGAAAATTACTTCGAATGTTAATTATGATTTCACAGGCCTGGCTTTCCTTGATTTAGAATGAAGCAGTCATCGTGCCCGCACACGCAAGGCCCTGCGGCCTGGAGCGGCCCGTGCCCGTCAAAGGATACGCTGGAAGCAGTGCCGGGTGAACGGCAGAGCCCTGTTGGGGCACTGCTCGCCCTTCACGGTCCCGCTGCAGGCTGCAGGCTCGAACTCCTTCAACTTGGTCCGGCTCACACTGCAGAAAAAAACACGCGGTTAGTTTTAGAAGATGCCCCACGAGTCCAGGGCAGTGTTTGAACCTTCCGTGCTGCTCTGCCATCTCAAAGTGAAAGTGTGGGGTCACGATGAAGCGATGCGCTGTCCCCCTCATCTACTGATTCTGCATCTACCTTGGCTTTCCATACGCCATTTTCCAAGTGATATTTTGATGACTTCCTTCACGAGGAGACAGGAAAGCGGTGGCCCACGAGCCCCCATCAGCCACACCCACCCCACACGGCCAGCGGGGCTACAGCGAGCACAGAGACACGCGCGGCTAATCCGCTGCACGGCACGCGCAGGACACCTTGCAGAAGGATTTGCATGTGGAAAGAGGATACAGATAGGCAAGCGTGGCTAAGACGCTCTTATCCTCCAAAATGTGCTCATGTCAGCCCTGCCCCTTTGGTTTTTGTTGACCTGGGCCTGCTATACAGTCCAGACTAGGCTCAATCTAACTTAAGGAGCACCAGCTGGCCTCGAACTGGCAGGCATCCTTCTGCCTCAGCCTCCTGAGTGCTGAGATTACAGGCGTGCGTCACTATGGCCAGCTAGATGTACAATACTTCTAAACTTTCTATATTAGGTATATCTTCATGTACTGTGCTGTCTTCACTTTGTTCCACTAACATTTAAATATTTTAGCTTTTTAAATTTTATGAATAAGCAATAAACTTGCATGGTTTCAAAAGTAGTAACAGTTCTATATAGCACTGTAAACCATTAGGCTTTTACATGTATCTATGTACAGAAAAATCTTAATGAGCATCACAGATCAGTCATTAAAGATAAATAAAAATGATTGCTTTATAATTATCTAAGGGTTTCAATGGAATGATTTATATTAGATCAAGCCACAGAATCTAAGCTGCATAAATTTACATAAAATCTAAATGAAAGAATACTTCTATTATAATCATTACTTTCATAAAAAAACATTAAACAGAAATAGGTAACTAAATACTACCATAGAGTCTGCTTTAAGAGTTCTGCAAGATGTCTCAGGATCATTACAGAGTTAAACTATTTATTGGTACCAGTTTACAAACTCTCCCCCAAAAAGGTGTTTACACTATTCACAGTTAAGAAAAAGATAGTTTGAAATAAAGCTTACTATTTTGGGCACCAAACCCAGTTCTCCTGATCTAGATTTAAATAGATGGGATGGACGATTTTCATTGAACACTTTAATAATTTACTTAGCTACCAAGCCTAATGTGTAACACACCGCCTCATTTTCTTTCTAGTCTTCCAAAGAAATTATTGGGTTCATTTTAAAAAATCATTTTATGTTCCAGCTTATAACTCTCTCAAAATAAACCCACAGCAGAAGTTCAGTATCTCCATGGATAAATCAAGGTTAAAAACATTTATGATGGTGTTAGGTATATCATCCAAAAAATCCCAACGAAAGTAATTACTAAAAGGTTTTGACTTTTTACCAAGAAAAATGTCTACCACAGGGCTCCTTTTGCACGCTCTACAGTACCCCAGTACATGAGCCCATTTCTGTGCAAACAGCAACAAACCCATCAGTAGAGGATCAGAGCTGCTGGGTATTTAGATTTACTTTAAACTAGTTCAGTGGCTTATTCTACTGACCAAATACAAGAAGGCTATTAGATAAGGAAGAGTATCTTAACATTATTTCTTTCTCCCCCCCCCCCTTTTGGTCTTTTTTGAGACGGGGTCTCACTATGCAGTTCAGGCTGGCCTTGAGCTCACTTTGTGGCCCAGACTGGTCTCGAACTCGAAACGATCCTCCTGCCTCAGCCTCCCGAGTGCTGGGATTACAGGCGTGAGCCACCAGCCCGGCACATTATTCCACTTTTGTGTAAAGTACATTTTGAAGGATACATATTAGAAAGTAATCATTAAAGTTTAAATTTCTAAAATATGTATCTGAATGTCTTTCACAGACCTGGGACTTTGATGTAAAAATTATCAACTAGAGGACACCATGCAGCTAACCATGGATTGTTCTGAATCTAAGATGCAAAGCACAGTAATAAGTGACTGATACATACTATCTGCCAGCTCCCCAGAAGGAATATAATTATTATTCAGCACAAATATGCACTAATAAAAATGACACAATGAGCATCAATGACACAATGTAACTCTGAATCATGGATAACATGACTGACATCAAATCACCTAACAAGAGTAAGGGAATACATCTGAGTTGTTTGTTTTTGGTACTAGGAATTGAACTCAGGACCTTGCACTTGTCAGGCAGGTGCGGTGCCACTGCACTATATCCCCGGCTCCAGAGTTTTTTTTTACTATCTGGCAACACTTAACCATTTTTTTTTAGCATCACTCACATTGGTACAGTCTGAAAAGCAGTTAATCACAGAACCCTAACCCTAACCCTGAGCATAGCTCTAGTAAAGCGCGTGGCTAGCACCTATGTGACCCTAGCTTTAACATCCAGCACTGCCAAGAAATAAAGTATATATTAAAATATATACATGGAATACACATCTTCCATACAAACACCTCAGCATCCCAACCTCACTGCACAGACTTCATCTCTGACAAGATTGTAATATACTAGACTCTTTAAAGACAGGGCCTCGCTGTCCAATTCAGGCTGGCCTCAAACTCTGGTGATCCTCCTGCCTCAGGCTCCCAGTGCTGGTATCACTGGCGTGTACTACCATGCCCAAAGGACATCCTTCTTGTATAACCTGTATCAAACTGGGTGGACGTTTCAACACGGAGAGCAGACCCTCACGTACCAAAGCCATTCCTGTCTCCTTCAACACAACAGACTTGAGAATAAAATGCACCTCATTCCTGAACTCACGGAAATTGTTTTCTAGCATAAAAAATTCATTCAGGTACTTCGTGATCGTTATGGAAAATTAAAATGGGACTCTGATTCAGGGGCTAGGAGTTCTGGTCTGAGGGCTACGGTTCCCCTAAGTGCCCCACAGCAGCAATGCCCCAGCATCCAGCCCGAGCTCTCCACACAGCCATGGGCCTCGGCCCCCGGGTTGGGTCCTTACGCCCTCTGGCGGCCAGGACCTCCCTAGCAGCACTTTCCAGAGGAGAGCAGGTGTTGGAAACGCCTCTAACAGGTGGATTCTGGCCCAGAGTCCCCCGGCTGAGCCCAGTGGGTCCTCCTCCTCCCACCTGCTGGCCTCCTGACGTGTATCACCGTCTGCTCCTAAACGCTATGCACCAGTCTTTTGAGACTTCTGGAAAGGTGGCCAAGTGGTAAGCAGCAGCAAGCAAACCAGCCTCCCCAAGATCAGAGTGCAGGCCTAGAAAATAACTTGGGGAGAAAAGGAACAGGGAAGCTGCAGCCAGGACCCAAGAAGGGGCTGAAGGGAAGACTGAAGCCTGCAGAGAAACTGAAGGGGCGACCAGCATCTTCTCCCTGCCCCTGGCTCCGGCGTGAGACGGGGACAGACACACAGTGAGCACAAGCCTGGGAGCAACGCAGCAGGGGAGGGAGAGGCAGCCTGGGGCGGAGGGACCAGGACCCAAACCAGAACCCAGAACTGAGACAGCCCTGAGTGACTTCCTTGCACGATCCTGCAGCTTGCACAGCGCGTGCCCCAAGCCCACAGCCAAGGCCAAGCTCAGCTGGCAGAACCCCGGGTATCACCCTGCATTGAGCCTGCTGTAGCCGGGGGCTCACATGCATGGCCCAGGCTCTGCCTGCCTCCTTCACCTGCCAGTGTCAGCAAGGACGCACGGTGCCCGGGGCTCGAGCACAGACCTATAGACCCCAGGAGATATCACAGTTTGAAAACACACAGAAACCATTCTTCTTAATTCCTTTGGTTTTGTTTTATGACTGTGAACACTGCTTTTAGGGTTTTGCTTTGTTCTTTCCTTCCTGTCATTGTCACCAGTTTCCTAAAGCTTGGGCAATCTTCTTTTGTCCTTCAAACTTGCATCTAATCTCTTTCTGTGCTTCTATTTTTCCCTCTATTCCTTTTGTGTTGTCTGCCTTAAGGGTAAACCACTCTGAGAGACTTTTTTATTACATATAATTTTAAGGTATGTTTTAGATTTTGTTTTATACCTATAACCCTTGTACCTATCATTAAAGGTGGCAAACTAACAGTCACCACAGTCTGTCCCTTTCTAGGCTAAGCTTGGTGCTACTGTTATTACTGACTGTACTACTTCAACCAGGTGGACAGAGTTGTTGCAATTAGCGTATCTTCCTTGTATGCAATACCTAGATTGTCTGAAGGTCATAAATGATACTGGACTCCAGCACTGAAGAATGGGGTACTAGGCAGAAATGGGACCTCTCATCCCTGAAAAGCTGAAGACAAAGGATCTCGGTACACACCCAAAAGCCAGCCATGACTATAAGATAGCTCTGAAAAGCTGGGTGTGGTGGCTTATGCCTGTAATCCCAGCACTTGGGAGGCTGAGGCAGGAGGATCATTTCAAGTTCGAGACCAGCCTGGGCTACAAAGTGAGCTCAAGGACAGCCTGAATTGCATATCGAGACCCTGTCTCAAAAAAAGACAAAAAAAAAGATAGCTCTGAAAAGTAGTCATTTCTTAATGAGATCTTGATAGTAGGAATAAAGCAATTTACAACTATCAACACAGAAACTGAGGAAGCAGGTGGTGACCCCAAGCCCCAACTCTCCAAAGGCAGATCCAAGGGGCACTGAGGTGGAAGAAATCAAAAGCCACCAGCTGAACTTTCCAAAATGCTAGCAGAGACTTCCAGGAGAACATGGCGGACAGATAGCAGCAGCTACGGAGGCTCTCTGAAAAACCCAGCTTAGAATTCAGGAATGCTGCGGAGTAAGGAATCATCAGCAAGTGGAGATATGCCCTGCTGACCCAAGAACGAACTGGGCTGAGAGAAACCAACTGGGAATGCAATCTTGGTGCTATAACAGGAACAGAAAAGCCTCAGCGTGGAAGCTGGAGCCCGCGCCATTGGAAGCCGCGATTTGGGTTCCTGGCGCCACCACTGCGCCTGCATCCACTT